ACTGGCTCATCAACTCTCGCTCACCTCTTCCGCTGGAATACAAAGTTCTACAATATAACTCATGTCTAAAGCCAACCTGGACGTACGGGTCTGAACTCTGGGGGAACGCAAGCAGCAGCAACATAGAAATCATCCAATGAGTGCAGTCAAAGATACTGCGAACAATAACGGGGGCCCCCTGGTATATTCGCAACACAAAAAAATATAAAACCCGTCAAAGAAGAAATTGATAGTAAAGTTTTGAAATACGAAGATAGACTATCAATACATCCAAACCAACTAGCCAGGCAGCTCAGGAGCCACTCTCGTCTATAGCGCAACGACTGCCCACTCCTGCCCAATTGAGGGCTGTCGACCAATTAAAAAACATAATATAATAAATAAATAATATAAAATAATATAGGTTAAGATTTGAATTCTTATTGTAAGTCTCTTCAAGAGAAGATTCAATAAATAAAGATAAATCTAAAAAAAAAAGCAATTAACTTCGTCGAGGTATTTGGCCACTGATCGATATTCTTGTTCGTCGTTCACTTTTATTTTTGTTGCACTCGTGTTACCCTTTTTATACCCTTGCAGAGCAAGGGGAATTATAATTTCAGTCAGAAGTTTGCAACACAGTGAAGGAGACACCTCAGATCCCATAAAGTATATATATTCTTGATCAGCATCACGATCTGAATCGAAATCCGTCTGTACGTCTGTCCGTCTGCCCGTCTGTCTGTCTGTCTGTCTGTCCGTTTCTCTTCAAACTAGTCGCTCAGTTTTAAAGCTATCTTGCTGAAACTTTCCCAAAAGGTGTGTAGTTATTGCACGCAGTATATAAGTCGGAACGAGCCGGATCGGCCGACTATATCGGATAGCTCTATCATATAGCTGCCATGGGAAAGATCAAAAAATATATATAGAAATAATGGCAAAATAATCATAATGTTGTTGTTTTTTATTCCACGAGCATGATTTTTACAAAATCGACTTTTTGGACTACCCTTGAACCAAGAAAAAAATTTCATAAAAATCGGACAACTAGATCATATAGCTGCCATGTCGAAAATATGAAAAATTAATAGAAAAGTCGTCATGGCTTCGATGTTGTTAGCCTTTATGTATTTTGTTCGAAATGTTTGATGACTGCAAGGGTATATAAGCTTCGGCTTGCCGAAGCTAGCTTCCTTTCTTGTTTCTTAAAAAGAATTGGCCTTAGGTGTTTGAGAGGTAAAATCGTCCTCTTTTGAGTTACTAAGAAATCGATTTCTTGTCAGCGGGAGAAAGCGAGCGTGCTTTCTCCGTATTCACTCGCAGTGTTGAAGTTTTCGTTGAATCTGGTAACTCTTGTGGAGAAGTAAGCATTTGTTCTGATTGTCGAGAGTTGTTGTTGTTGCCAAGACTTCCTCATTATGGCTCTTCGTTACAGAGCTTTCGCTCTCAAATGTTGGCGTTGTTTTTGACAAACTATATTATCGTTTAAAAAATTAATTAGAACATTATTTGATAATTTCCACAGTCAACATGAGCAGAGGTACCTCTGCGTACCCTAAATTCGGCTATTTTCGATGTATTTTTAGTTACACGCCGGAGCGATCTAAAAAAACACGTCTGTTTTTATTTGCTGTGGAACTTTCAACTGAATGAATGTGTTTTAGTTGCCAAAACTAGTATTTTTTATATTAAGGTTCTTACAATGTAGTTTCGCTAAATAGATCGCAACCCTAACCTGGTCAGAAAGCCAATTGATCCTGTTCGCTCGCCGACCGACCTGTGAATTGTCCAAAACTTGAGAATCAACTGCAGGCGAACTCAGAACGGTCTTAGAAATTTATACAGAGCTGTTGCTTTCACTAGCAATTCTCTCGGGGTACAGCCTTGCGACACGACATCTGTCGTGTCAGAACAGCATTAAAAGGGGCAATCAAATCTATGGTTTTCTTGACGCCTTTGATAAGTTTAGCTAACTTCGTGTGTAAAAAAAAAAAATTTTAATAAAAAATAAATTTAATTTAAACGGCTGCTATTTGTTGTAGTTATATACCTCTTCAATTTAAATTTGTGCTCCAATTGGAAAATATTCCTCTTCGTTTGAACTTATAAGAAAGCGGACGCGTGGTTGGTATTGACAATAAAAAAAATTCGCATCGCTTAAAAGGAGTTCGCATCGCTAGTTTAAGGCAACATACCAGGTTGAAAAAAATCCTCAATTTTCCAATTGAGGCAACTAAAAAATCATAAGATTTGGCATACTTGAATCCCTCCAGAGACAATCTAACCAGGCTTGGTATTGTGTAGTTTTGGCTTGTCGCTAACAAAATTATATTCCGTAGCAATTACTTAAAAAAACACACCAACGCCAATAAAAAAGTCAATTCGGTTAATGGACTAGCAACTACCTTTAAATTAAGTTGGCTAGCAAGTTCCGAAGCATTGAAGTTCATTGGAAACTTGAATATAAGATTGCTCGGGAAGGCATAAATGCACCATCTCTATTTTTACGTAGATTTTAGCAGTTGGACTAATCTTTAAGGATCTTAGTGGAGGGTGTGCTAAATAATGATCATAATGCGATGATGAATATGAGCATGTCACTAGCGCTCATGAAGAAAACGGCCGAGAGCTTAGGAGTGGGTCAGATGATGGAGATGAAAATGAGTTAGATGATTGTTGCGAACTATGTCCCTTGCGCAAGCAGCTGGACAAAGAGTCTTTTTCTTTGCTTATCAGAATTGAAAATTCGAATTCAAGTTTAAGAATTTAGAACACTTTGGCAACTAATGACCCCAGCATCGCAAAATAGATATACCAGATGATTTGAACTTGTTTATATCCATGCTCGTTTGTTCCCATCTCCTGGTCTGGGGTTTGAATTACCAAGGTCGGATCGAGGTTTTCCACCTTTTCCAAGAATGACTGCAAAGCAGTCCATGTAAATCTGCGATTGACAAATTTTCTTGAATGTAATGTATGTTATCATTTTTATAAATTATCAGAATATGATTCATGACAACAAGCTACCTCCAAAATTGACTATCAAGGGGAGTGCATGCCGAATTTTGTGTCGTTTATGTTTTGCATTCTCTCTGTGCCGATAAGAACGTATGCATACACTGGCTTTTTTCATGGCATAAGTACTTTGACTGCATCTTTATATTTTATATTTTTACACTGAAGAAGTGAGAATCAAACAACTTAATTTAAGATCAGGTGCTAAGCGCAAAACAGGAATCGATCTTTACTGAAGTACAGAAATGAAAAAAAAAATGTTTTTCTGAAGCTCCAATCTACTGTCGATCAAATAAACTTAACAGCTAAGATCGCCATTGTGACTTTAAAATCCCATACATAACAAAAACAAACAAGCTTGAAAGACTGTCTTGTGCAAAGAAACATCTCCATAAACCAAAGGAGTTATGGAGAAGCGTTCTATAAATTCATGTGTTTTCGATCGAATGTAACAACGAATGTTTAAACGATACCTATAAAACAATAAAAACATCAAGTAGCACCTAACCTAATTGAACAACTGTCGGAGTCACCAAAATGTTTTTGGGGAACACAACCAAAGTGCCACCCTTGATTGATTAACTAAACCCACGATAATATAGGCTTAATTTAACGCATGTGTTTTATTTGCTTGGGTGCTACACACTAACTTAGCCAAACGAAAGCTTAACTTAGAAGAATATACAGTTGCTTAGTATGCAGTTTGCTTGAACCCGACATAAGAGAGATAACAAGAAAGGAAGCTAGCTTCGGCAAGCCGAAGCTTATATACCCTTGCAGTCATCAAATATTTCGAACAGAATACACAAAGGCTAAACAACATCGAAGCTACGACGACTTTTCTATTAGTTTTCCATATTTTTGACTATTGTTCATATCGCCGCTATATGATATAGTTGTCCGATTTTGATGAAATTTTATTTGTTATTCAAGAGTCGTTAGAAAACTTTATATTCCAAAAATCTTGATTTTCTGATGAGAAATAACGATGTTATCATTTTATTTCCGTTAATTCTATATAGATTTTTCGATCTTTCCTATGGCAGCTATATGATATAGTTGTCCGATTTTTATGAAATTTTTTTTACAAATCAAGGCTAGTTAAAAAAACTTGATACTCAAAAAATCTTGCTCGTGGGATAAAAAACAACGATGCTATCAATTTATTTCCATTAATTCTATATATATTTTTCGATCTCTCCTATGACAGCTATATGATGGAGTTATCCGATTTTGTTCAAATTTAATCCGAAATTCAATAACAGTTAGAAAACGCCATCTTGAAGAATTCAAGTCGATCTGATGAAAAACAATAGAGTGAGAATTTTTTATTTCATTCTCTTGTATTGGAGCTATCCGATATAGTCGGCCGATCCGGCCCGTTCCGACTTATATACTGCGTGCAGCAACTACACAACTTTTGGGAAAGTTTCATCAAGATAGCTTTAAAACTGAGAGACTAGTTTGCGCGGAAACGGACAGACGGACAGACGGACAGACGGACAGACGGACAGACGGACAGACGTACATACATATTTCGATTCAGATGGTGATGCTGATCAAGAATATATATACTTTATGGGGTCTGAGGTGTCTCCTTCACTGCGTTGCAAACTTCTGACTGAAATTATAATACCCTTTTGCTCTGCAAGGGTATAAAAATGGACAGAGAGCAGCTTCGTGCAAAGAGCGCTCCAGGTGCAGTAGTATAGCGTCGAGCACCTGAGTCTCAATTTTAATACTCGTTTATAATTTTTTAGGCAACTAGAGAAAATCCAATATATCCGAAAAAATAAATATTTAAGCAAACAGGGGCGTGAGATCTAAAATTTTTTTAGAGATTATTTTTGGTGAGCATTACACGACCTTTTATATTGAATTTGTGAAAACTTGAGAAGCGTTAAAATAAATAAATTAATTATTTAATAATTAGTAATAACTAATAATTTTGAAACCTCGAATACTTCAAACGTTATTTTGAATAAATTTTTTTTTTTTAATTTCAGAATGCCGGCGGATCCTACAGAAGAAATGGCCGCTCCTCAGGTCCCCAAAACTGAACTAGAGGAGCTGCAAATTAGTGCTCAAGGTGTAGCTGATGAGGTGAGTGTCTACTTAATCATCGCCGTCTTGAGAAGTCATAAATCACACAGATTCTGATGTACTTAAGAATAAAAAAAAAAAAAAACAAATTATTTTAATATCAAAAACAAAAAAGAAGCTAGCTACGGCAAGCCGAAGCTAATATACCCTTGCAGACTTCAAATATGTCCAACAAAAAACATGAAGGCTAAACAACATCGGAGCTTTGACGATTTTTCTATTCATTTCCACATTTTTGACTTTTGTTCATATGATATAGTCGTCCGGCTTTTGTGAAAATTCAAGAGACGTTAGAAAAAACCATTATTGTCTGATAAAAAACAACGATGTTGTAATTATATTGTATTTCCATTAATTTTATATAGATTTTTTGATCTTTCCTATTTCAGCTATATGCTAACGTAGTCCGATTTTTTTATTTTTATAGTAATTTTTGTGAGGGCGAATCTTTTGCTTGGTACATGCATTGTGAAGATATTACTCGCAGGCGTCGAAAAGTTGCTTACTGTAGAGCAAAACACCAATATAGGGAAAAAATGACTTATGTCTTTTGACAGACTTAAATGGTCGCGATATCAGTGTCGGATCGCGGCGGCAATAAAAAAAAGAATTTCAAAAGTGACTTCCAAAACTCGGGCTTTTACAAAAACAAATGAGCACTCAGAACATAGAAGTTGGGCACCACGGTACAATTATACAAGGTAGTCTCGTCGGCTGCCTAATCGTTCGGCTATTTAGTCAGTGCGTTCGTGCTTGTTGAAGGATGAGCACGCGTGCGATTTTTTTCAGAGTATTAACCCTTGTGCAAAGATGTCGTTCTGCCCTTGGCTGCAAACTTTTTTTGTTTTTTCACATGTCGTTTCAGATTATTTTAGTATAACAAAAAATGTAAAGGGAAAACTATTAATTGTTGCTAAGAAACATTAATTTAGATATTACAAAAATTTACTTTAATATTGACATTTATTTTAAAATTAAGAACCTAAACAAAGAAATAACTATCCAAAAATAAAAACAACGTTTAATTTTAAATACCAAACTATTAAAAATTAATTTATAAAAAACTTGAACTCCTATTACTATAAATGAGCAATTTAAGACCCATGCACCATCTGAGGGCTAAGCAAAAAGCTCTTTTGTCGTTTCACTCGCACTTACTACGCAGACTCCTCTCACTCGTTCTTGTGGTGAGTAATGAATAAGGGAGTGCTTTTTGCCGACGAGACTACCTTGTATAATTGTACCATGTTGGGCACCTCGGTTGAAAATACATATAATTTATCATCATCCTATCCTCCAGAAGTGACTAAACAGTTTCTTCCTAGGCGAAAGGCGATAGGTTTCTCGTCCAAATGCTTGCAGGCTTTTTTGGACTGTGTACAGTAAAAAAACAGTGAACATGCATTTATATAAGAAGCGAACAATATTACTAAACAAAAAGTAAATAATAATAATTACAATAATTTTACATTTTTAGTAGGCGAATGTTGTCAGGGTTGGGCCATATTTTGACCTATGTATGTCCATAAGTTCTGAACGAATGACAATTTAGAATAAGTTTATACATTTTTGGAAAGGTACAAGCGAGAGGAAGTGTTCACCAAAAATAGAGAATAAAAAAACAGAAACAAAAAAAGTTATAGGCGTTTGAAAAAAAAAATGTAGTCAGCGTTGGGCCATGTATTCAGGGTTGGGCCACCTTCAGAAAATCGTTGACAATATCGTAACGTGGTGGAATAAAATTGAATTCAGGTAAATCTGACAATTTTTTGTTCATTTATTTAATTATTTGGGATTTTACAGTAAATATCAAATTATTCAGAGTTGTTTTTCGTTTGTAGCGAGAAACACTAAGGAAAAAAGATAAAAATGATTCATCTTCTTTCAATCCATCAAAATATTTTTTTAATGAAATCTATTTAATTTATTTTGCATATTTTTGCTACAAAAAACTTAAATATTATAACAAAAATCGAAAATACACGAATAAAATGTAAAAATTATGATGGCCCAAGCCTGACTACAAGAGTGGCCCAACCCTGACGACATGCGGTATTAGTCTATTATGGTATGATATAGCCAAACTATGTATATCTAACAATGAAACTATATCTTAGTATTTTGTAATATAACAACTATATAACGTATTTGTATGCTCACTTTGCGGATGACATGTTGTAATCTTGTGTTATTCCACCTTTTCGGCCAGGTTAAAAAAACTTTTTCGAGCACTTTTTTTCACAGAACAACGGCACGTAGAAAAATGAAATCCCGAAATAAGTTGTCACGTGGAAAGTTTGGAGTGACCGATAGAAGTTTCTAGATACCCACTAACAGATGGTACTAGAACGAATATTCAAAATATTGAGATGGCCCAAGCCTGACAACGGCCCAACCCTGACAACATTCCCCTACATCTCAAGAATTGGCTTTGCATAAAGCGATAATGGGAGATAATGATAATTTCATGGAAGCTCTAACCAAACTTTTAAAGTGGACGCATGGCGTCAATGCAACATAATAAGCTTCAAATTTTGTTGTACACCAACAAAAACCTACAATATTATTGCGTCTCTGAGTAGTAAAGATGGCGAAAAGGGATTGAAAAGATAAAATTGATTTTGAAACCTATAAATTTCAAAGTATTTATGCAAAATCGGAATAAATTGCAAAACAGTTGGATAGTCCGATCCGGCCTGTTCCGACAAATATACTGCGTGCCGTGACTATACAACTTTTGGTAAAGTTTCAGCATGTTAGCTTTAAAACTGAGAGACTAGTAGACGGACAGACGCTGATCAAGTATATACATATAGGGGAATTATGTCAGGGTTGGACCGTTGTCAGGCTTGGGCCATCTTAATATTTTGGATATTCGTACTAGTGTTATATCGACGCATTTCCGCAAATGTATCGTATGTTGAAAAATCAAATTTTACAGGAGAAGCTTTTTCTTTATTTTTGTGTTTCGGTATTTTTGTGCGATTGCAGTATTTCCATGCAAATGAAAAAAAATTTGCATGGACATACGATAATTTCGCGCGCACATTGTAACATACGATAAAATTGAAACTTAAATTTTATCGGAACTATAGGGCTTTCAGTTATAATATTGCACAGGGTAGTGAGACATTAGGTGCCTAACAATTTTGCATTAAAATCTCAATTTCGAAAAAAAAGCGACATACGATACTTTCGCGGAAATGCGTCGATATGATTTTTGGTAGTATCGATATCCCCACTGGACACACACTCACAAATCACATCTACCGATAAATAAAGCACGCGTTACCTTCAAACTGGTTCTCCCTGAGAATCAAGTACAACAGTGCGTGCAACAGCACTCTTACTAGGATTGTGAATAATATATCAAAATATCAATATATCGATATTTTTTTGACAAAAATAAATATTTATATCATGATATTTTTTAACCTGATATATCAAATATCGCAAATTTTTTTTTTTATATATTTTTGATATTTCCTAATTGGTCACACTGATGTGATTTCCCGGAAGCCAAGGAGATGAGCGCGCCAAAAATTTATTTTTATGTGGATTTGTGTGTATTTCCGTGAATTTTTGAGTTTGTACACGAATTCCGTGTAATTGATTTGATTTGCTCTCGAGTTTTTTCCGCTAATTTCGTGTTAGTGATTTTGTTTTTAATTTTCTATAAATTACTTGTAATAGGAAAAAGGCAAAGTAAAATCAGGATAATATATAAATGTATGTATGCATTTAAAATAAAGCATTGAGCAACTGTGCAGCGAAAATCGTTAAAAAAAAACAATTTTTGTTAAATTTTGGTTGATTAATAAAAATAAATATGTAAATTAAATAAATATCAAAAATACTTGATATATCGATATTTTTGGGTGATAAATATTTTTATCAATTTGATAGATTTTTAAAAAACGATATATCACTGATACGATATTTTTTACATATCATCACAACCCTAACTCTTACGCTCTCTCAGATTCCCTATATCGATCGTCACCCTTTGTTGGCCCCCGGAAATTTTGTGTAAAATTAATTTAAGGGGGTCTTCCTATGTGACGGCCTGTTTTTTAGGGTTATTTTAGGATTTTTTTTCTACGACCAGTAAATATTTAGAGCTTCAAGTTTTTTTATCATTTATTAACACATATTTGGACAGTATAAATAAAAAATTTCAGCAAAAAATATTCGGTCAAACTAGAGTTACAGCGCTCTGAACACCCCCGCCTCGAAAAAAAGAGCTCCCACTTCCTCCACGATTCCAGCTGATCGGCTTATCAGAAAAAAAAAAAATAAACGGCGTTTTAATTTGTAGGCTTAAATGCACGGAATGAACTACAATCAAATAAATATAAAAAAATTGGGTTTTTTATAGACATTTTAAAAAAAGTTGCAAATTTGGCGTTTTTTTTTTTTTTTTTTTGCTATAAAAAAATCGAAGTTTTGAAAATTTTCGATTGATAATAGTTCATTCCATGCGTTTACATATATTGAGTGTGCCCGGTAAATTTCCAGTAATTCGGTCCAGCCGTTTCTGAGATACAATGGAGGAAAGTTTGAAAAACACAGTTTTGAGAAAAACGCGTTTAAAGTTTCTAACTGCCAACTCAGCGCTTCGAACCGCTCTTTCTTTTACCTGCTGTATCTTTAAAACGACTTCGAATTTTCTAAAATCGCTTTACTACCGTATTCTAGACATGTTAAGGGAGCAATTTATGAAAAAAAAAAAAATCGATTTTTTCAACCTATCACATAGGAAGACCCCCTTAAAAAACTACCTGGTACAAGCCGGGAGTTAAGTGAAGTAACTTTAAATGACTCGTAAAAATAAGTTTAATGATTGAAAATCCATAATAACCATTATCATCAATATTTTAAATGTATATTTTTTTTTTTTCTAGTCCCTGGAAAGTACGCGGCGTATGCTTGCTCTATGTGAGGAGGTAAGAAAACTAGTACTAGTGCTTCATAAAAATATTTATATTTTGTTTAACAATATTGTGAATATTTTAAACAAGGGTATCTTCGCGTTCATAATCAGGATTTAGATACAGGATTCAGTTATATTAAATTCCACCTTTTTTTAATTTAAAAACAGTAAATAGATGCTTGGCAAAAGTCAAACCACTTTCCAAATGGTAAAGGCCATTATGGACAACACGTTTTTAAAGAAAAATGAAATACATACGAAACACGGAAGGTGTTATTGTTTAAATTAGAATTTTATTTGCCTTAACCGAAAAAACCATCTACATTTTTTTGCGGAAATACAATAATACGTGAGTAGTTATGGATTGGTGGGCGATAAACACAAAAATTTAAATGCTGCAAAAGCTTTGATTGACTCCTCTCTCTAGCTTTGATGTGAAGTGCTATACTTAGTAAGCTTATAAATATTAAAAAAACATGTTTTTCAGATTCGTCTTGTAAATTTTATATATTTACATGCTGATTATTTATAGAATTATAATTACCTTAGGAGCACGAACTTTCAAAAACTAGTTAGCCTAATAAAAAGTTACTCAAACATATTACATTAAAACTAGCGGACCCGGCGAACTTTGTCTCGCCCCAATTTCACGAGTAGAACACTGGTAATTCAAATTTTTTGTGCAATTTTTTTGACTCGAAATCATTGGAGAGCGGTGTGATAAACAATATTTTTTGTTTTGTTATCCGGTGCAAAAATAAATAATGATGACGACTTTCCGACACGCGAACAGGCTACGTATAACTGTCCATGTGAAAAACATTGATTTTCCAGATTTATCCCGCAGACTTCCAACGACTGGCCTTGCGATTTATTGATTGTCATCGCAAATGCCAATCGAACTGGGAACTGAATCCTCTTAAATTGGAATGGAAGATCTGTTGGAACAATCGGAATTCTTGGGATAAGAACTTCCTCTCCTTTAAATTTACCCTTGATGATCGTCGCTTGAATCACGTTGTTCATTAGTTTCTTAAAGGACAACCGCGTACCGTTGCATAATCTCAGATGATTTGGATTCCGCTGCATTATTATAACTGATCCCACCTTCAGTTGCAAATTATGCGGCAGAGTTCCTGGCACATCCAGTGAGTTCAAAAATTCTGTCGGATAGTTGGTCGCTTCATCCTCTATTATTTTGTCGGGCTTGAGATGGGCTTTGAGCAGCGCGAAGCTGTGCCATTCGGGCACGTGTCGATGCATTTGTTTCTGCACGTTCCTCTTGCGTCCGACTATTACGGAAATTCGGACTATTTATTACATTGCGCGAACGCCGTCCAAGTCTTAATCTTCTAACAGCAGGCATTATTTCCAATTGTTTAAGCTCACTCAAATTTTTTTGTTTAAATATTTTTTTATCGAGTTCATCGATACACAATATCAACGCAGCTATGATCTTTGTAGTGTGTTTTAGAATTTTACATACAACATTGTATAGATCTGTTGAGCCGCTAGCGACTTTTCCAGAAGGTTTTCCCAAAATTTTCTTATGCTATAACCTTCTACTGGCAAGTAAAAACAACTGAAAAAAATTTGAGCCAGATCGACCCAGCCGTTCTCATGTGATGCGATTCCGCACATTTTTTGTCTCCATTTTTATATATATAGATAAGGACGTTAACAAATTACTTATTAGAGTAATACAATTTTATGATAATGTATAAAATTTACTTAAAAATAAAAACAAATCTTAAGTCAGAAATCTCTGTACGCTGCACGGCGTTTGCCCTCTTTTAAACTCAGTAAAAAAGAAAAGAAAAAATGAGAATGGAGGCTTATACGTAGTTCCAAACATGGTAAGTATACCCACGCCGCTGTCTGACATAATAATAATTTATGATACAAAAAAAAAACGATATTCGTCGAAAATGGATAAAAAAAAGTCCCAACTTGCTTTTACTAAAAGATAACTAAATTGCCTTTTTATAATTCGGTTTTATTCTGTAGATATAATTTATTTTCTATTTCGTTTTGGTTGCTGATGACGGCAAATGAAAAGTATTGAAAAGAGCGTTAGCCCTATGACAATTTATTAACAATGCAGCAAATAAATAATAATTTATTCACGATACGCAAAATGATAGTTGCCTCTTTGTCGAATTTGGCAACAAAACTTTGGTTCTGGAAACCTTCTAAACAAAAAGGGAATAATAAATGAGCAGCCTCTCATCTCGAACTTCGAACCAATGAGTGCGGTTGAATCATGTCGTAAAATGATTTTCATCAGAATCAGTAGTATTTTCGGTAAAGTTTACATCTGCCAACTTTACTACAACTTTACTAACTATTGCTTTTCAAAGTACTTCAAAAAAATTTGCATTACCATTAAATACGTATAAACGGCTCGGAATAAGCAAGCTCCATCACTTGGTAAAGGAATTATTAAAAAACAAGAAAGAATGCTAGCTTTGGCAAGCCGAACAAAATACATAAAGGCTAAACAACATTGAAGCTATGATGATTTTTATATTAATCTTCCACATTTTCGACTATTTTTTATATGGCAGCAATATGATATGTCCGATTTTGATGAAATTTACTTCGTTATTCAAGAATCATTAGAAAACTGATAAAAAAAAACAACGATGTTATCATTTTATTTCCGTTACTTCTATACAGATTTTTATACCCTTGCAGAGCAAAAGGGTATTATAATTTCAGTCAGAAGTTTGCAACGCAGTGAAGGAGACACCTCAGACCCCATAAAGTATATATATTCTTGATCAGCATCACGATCAGAATCCAAATATGCATGTACGTCTGTCTGTCTGTCCGTCTGTCCTAGTCTCTCTAGTCTAACTAGTCTCTCAGTTTTAAAACTATCTTGATGAAACTTTTCCAAAAGGTGTGTAGTTATTGCACGCAGTATAAAGTCGGAACGGGCCGGATCGGCCGACTATATCGGATAGCTCCCATATGAAAGAATGAAATAAAAAATGCTCAGGCCGTTGTTTTTGATCAGATCGACTTGAATTCTTCAAGATGGCGTTTTCTAACTGTTATTGAATTTCGGGTTAAATTTGATCAAAATCGGATAACTCTATCATATAGCTGCCATAGAAGAGATCGAAAAATATATATAGAATTAATGGAAATAAATTGATAACATCTTTTTTTATCCCACAAGCATGATTTTTTGAATATAAAGTTTTTTAACAACTCTTATATTGAGAAAAAAGTTTCATAAAAATCGGACAGCTATATCTTATAGCTACCATAGGAAAGATCGAAAAATCTTTATAGAAATAACGGAAATATAATGATAACATCGTTGTTTTTTATTAGATAAGCATGATTTTTGGAATATAAAGTTTTCTAACAACTCTTGAATTACTAATTAAATTTGATCAAAATCGAACAACTATATCATATAGCTCCCATATGATCTATAGTCGAAAATATGGAAAATGAATAGAAAAATCGTCTAAGCTTCGATGTTTTTTAGCCTTAATGCATTTTGTTCGACATATTTGATGACTGCAAGGGTATATAAGCTTCGGCTTGCCGAAGCTAGCTTCCTTTCTTGTTCGATCTTTCCTATGGCAGCTATATGATATCGTAGTCCGATTTTTATGAAAGTTTTTTTTCCATTCAAGGGTTATTAAAAAACTCCATATTTTGAAAATCATGCTCGTGGGTTTAAAAAATACGACGTTAACACTTTTTTCCCATTTTTTATATATATATTTTTTGGTCTTTCCTATGGCAGCTATTTGATAGAGCTATCCGATTTTGATAAAATTTAATCCGAAGTTCAATAGTAGTTAGAAAACTCCATCTGGAAGAAATCAAGTCGATCTGATCAAAAACAACGTCGTGAGAATTTGAGACTAGTTTGCAAGGAAACGGACAGACGTACAGACGGATTTAGATTCAGATCGTGATGCTGATCAAGAATATATATACTTTATGGGGTCTGAGGTGTCTCCTTCACTGCGTTACAAACTTCTGACTGAAATTATAATACCCTTTTGCTCTGCAAGGGTATAAAAACAAGTACTTTGTAAACTATGTTTTTTTTTAAACTGTTTTCATAAAAAAGGAGATCAAATCGCATTTGTTTAAGTGACAAAAACAAAGAAAATTTATAATTAGTTTTGATTTACCAATTTTCTAAAATTTGGGGTCAAATGGGGTCAAAAAATAGAAAAAAGAATGAATGGATCGGTTAAGTTCTAAAAGAATAGGTACTGCAGATTACCCAAAAATATTCGCAAGAAAGTGCGACCTGTAATTCAACGTATCCCTCATGGTGGCGGCAGTGTCATGTTTTGGGGATGTGTCTGTTTTAACGGGATCGGTGATTTGGTCCCCATCAATGGGACGATGAATCAAGGACACTATTTGCGTATCCTGAATGACCCCGCATTTCTTGCCGGCGACAGACTCATTGGGCAAGACTTTATCCTGCAACAGGATAATGCTCCATGCCATAAAGCAAAAATGATAACAAAATTTTTGATGGACTTGGAAGTAAAATCTTTAGATTGGCCACCCCAAAGTCCCGATCTTAACATTATAGAGAATGTGTGGGCTTACATAAAACGTAAGAGGAGTCCAAACATAACAAGAACTCTAGAAGAGACAATTGATGAAGTCGAAGGACTATGGAAGGAAATTTCCCTTGAAACACTTAAAAATTTAGTGAAATCTGTTCCAGCACGCTTACAAAAGGTGGTAATAGATGCCAAAGGAGGGTTTATTTTGTATTCATTTATATTTCATTATTAACATTTTTGGCAATTCACATTAATTTTCTTACAAATTATGTTATGTCAAAATACATTTGGCCTTCCACTTTAATGAAATTGTATTTCTAGTTTATAAGATGTAATATAATCTGAAATGTAATATTTTTGTTCTTTTTTATTGTATTATTACACTATTGTTATAAATAAATTTCAATAATATTTTTTGGGTAAATAAATTAGAGTTTATAACACAAAATGTGCA